CAATTTTGAGGATTCTAACACATCCCTCCCTAGTTTGGTTAAGTCTTTATTGCAGGAGTTCGACGATGTGTTTCCTGAGGAGATGCCAAGTGGATTGCCACCAATCAGAGGCATTGAGCACCAGATTGACTTTGTACCCGGAGCTGTCATACCGAATCGACCAGCTTACCGAAGCAATCTCGAGGAGACGAAGGAGCTTCAAAAGCAAATGGAGGAGTTGATGAGCAAAGGTTATGTCAGGGAGAGCATGAGTCCATGTGATGTACCTGTTTTGCTGATGCCTAAGAAGGACGGGACTTGGAGAATGTGCGTGGATTGCCGAGCTATCAACAATATCACGGTAAAGTATTGTCACCCAATACTTAGGCTAGATGATATGCTTGATGAGTTGCATGGTGCTTGCATTTTTAGTAAGATTGATCTTAAGAGCGGGTATCTTCAAATTCACATGCGGGAGGGTAATGAATGGAAAACGGCGTTTAAGACTGAGTATGGATTGTATGAATGGTTAGTTATGCCATTTGGACTCACTAATGCACCAAGCACTTTTATACATTTAATGAACCATGTTTTACGTGCTTTTATTGGGAAATTTGTTGTAGTTTATTTTGATGACATCTTAATCTATAGCAAAAACCTAGATAAGCATTTAGAACATTTAAATTGTGTGCTTGTTGTGTTGCGAAAGGAACAACTGTATGCTAATTTCAAAAAGTGCACATTTTGCATGGATAGAGTTGTTTTCCTAGGATTTGTGGTTAGTGCTAACGGGGTGGAAGTCGATGAAGAAAAGATAAAAGCTATAAAAGAATAGCCAACACCTAAGACTATAACTGAAGTTAGGACTTTTCATGGATTGGCTAGTTTTTATAGGCGATTTGTAAGAGATTTTAGCACCATCACCACATTGTTGACTGAAATAGTAAAGAAGAGTGTAGGTTTCCATTGGGGAGAATATCAAGAAATTGCATTTAACACAATTAAGAATAAGCTATGTAAAACACTTGTTTTGGCATTACCAAATTTTGATAAAACATTCGAGATTGAGTGTGATGCATCAGGAATATGTATAGGAGCAGTGTTAATGCAGGAAAGGAGACCTATTGCTTACTTTAGCGAAAAGTTGAGTGGGGCAGCATTGAATTATCCGACATATGACAAGGAGCTGTATTCACTTGTTCGAGCATTGGAGACTTGGCAGCACTACTTATAGCCAAAGGAATTCGTGATACACACCGATCATGAATCTTTAAAGCATTTGCGAGGTCAAGGTAAGTTGAACAAAAGACATGCGAGATGGATGGAGTTTATCGAGACATTTCCCTACTTCATCAAGTACAAACAAGGTAACGAAAATATAGTTGCTAATGCGTTGTCTCGAAGGTACGTGCTTTTAAATTCATTAAGTACTAAGTTACTTGGTTTCGAACATATTAAGGGCATATATGAATCTGATTGTGATTTTTCTAGTATTTATACTTCATGTGACAAAGGTGTATTTGATAAATTCTATAGGCATGTAGGCTATTTGTTTAGGGAACATAAGTTGTGCATTCCTAATTGTTCTTTGCGTGAATTATTGGTAAGAGAAGCACATGGGGGTGGTTTAATGGGACACTTCGGGGTTCAAAAGACTTTAGACATGTTAGGGGAACATTTTTATTGGCCTAAAATGCGACATGACGTAGAACAAATATGTGGAAAGTGCATAACTTGTAAAAATGCTAAGTCTAAGGTTCAACCCCATGGTTTGTATACTCCTTTGCCTGTACCTAGTGAACCTTGGGTAGATATATCTATGGACTTTGTGTTAGGTTTGCCTAGGACAAAAAAGGGTCGGGATTCAATATTTGTAGTGGTCGATAGGTTTAGTAAGATATCGCACTTCATACCATGTCATAAAACTGACGATATTACTAATATAGCAGACTTATTTTTTAGGGAAATAGTACGTTTATATGGAGTGCCTAAAAGTATAGTGTCTGATAGGGACGTGAAGTTTTTGAGTCATTTTTGGCGTGTTCTGTGGAGTAAGTTAGGAACTAAGTTATTATTTTCTACAACTTGTCACCCACAAACAGATGAACAAACTGAGGTAGTTAATCGAACTATGACTCAACTACTTAGGACAGTGATCAATAAAAATCTGAAATCATGGGAAGAGTGTTTACCGTTTATAGAGTTTGCATATAATCGAGCTACACATTCTACTACTTCGTTTTCTCCTTTTGAAATTGTTTATGGTTTTAATCCACTAAAATCTATGGATTTAATACCTTTGCCTGTACATGAACAAGGTAGCTTGGATGGGAAACGAAAAGCCGAGATGGTGAAAATACTCCATGAAAAGGTCATGATGCAGATCGAAGAGAAAGGAAAGCTGATTGCATCAAAAGCAAATAAAGGTAGAAGACGCGTTACATTTGAGCCTGGAGATTGGGTCTGGGTGCATTTCAGAAAAGAGCGTTTTTCAGAACAGAGGAAGTCAAAATTGCAACCACGAGGCGATGGACCGTTTCAAATCATCGAGAGGATCAATGACAATGCATACAAAGTGGATTTACCTGGTGAGTATAATGTTTCAGATACTTTTAATTTCGCTGATCTTTCTCTTTTCGATGCAGGTTCAGATTCGAGGACAAATCCTTTCGAAGAGGGAGGGGATGATATGAATCAAGGCGCATCAACAACTAAGACAACTCAAGCGTCAAGTCACGGGAAGGATCCGTTGATCATCGAAGGTGGACCGATGACGCGATCGAGGATGAAGCAAGTGAAAGAAGCGATGGGATTGCTCGTCAAGCAAGTCAATGAAGACACAATGTTCGGGGCGCAAAATGGAGCAACTTTTATGTTCGGGTCGAAGGTCGAATCAACTTGGATCAATTTGTTATCAAGCGACAAAACCGGAGGTTGAAAACAAGCCTGTGCGGCTGCACAGGCAAAACACCATGCAGCCGCACGGTGGCATACCGAAAGTCAAGATGGCATTTCTTGTTGAACCGTGCGACGCCGCACAAGCCAAAATTTTGACGAATTTTCTAATTTTGGCCGAATTTTCTAGTTTCGATAGAATTCTTATGAAATCAAATTCTTACCATAATTTGATGGGTTTTGGACGTTTTTACTCATTAGTATAAATGGGAGAATACTTTTCATTGTAAGGACTTTTTTTGCTTGAATAATATTATAGAGAGAGAATTTGTTCTTTCAATTTCTTGTTCTTCTTGAACAATCTTGGAACTTATCAAGATTCAATTTCTTGTGGCGTTCTAAACAATCGGATTGTGGGTTCTTTTAATTGTAATCAAGGGGTTTTAGGTTTTTCGCTAATCTAGAGTTTATCGGTTCAATTCTTGGGGTTCAAGATCCAAAATCGGGCTAGTATTGGCGTTTTTGGGTTCCACATCAATCTCGTTGTGGGTTTCGTAGTTTCCATTGCTACGGGGTTCGCATCAGCTCTAGACAAGGATGTTAACTGGTCGACGTCGTCGTTGCTGCCTGGTTGGATATCGACCAAAATTCAACAAGTCAAGTTTATGTGCGACGAAAAAGATGACCAGCAAGAGCCTGCAAGGCAGCAACAAGTCAAGTTTATGTGCGAGGAAGACGATGACCATACCTTATCCAAAAAAAAAAAAAAAAAACGATGACTAGAAATAGAGTTGGAAAATGAAGAAATATACTTACCCTAAGACAAAACGATGACCAGCAGTAGCAAGGAAGCAATTGGATGACGAAATCGCCATCGATCTGGGTCGGCGACGGTAATAGCTAAGACGCCAGATGGCCCAGACGAGAAGTGAAGTGTTAGAAGTGTCCTTAGAGTTTAGATTAGGGCTTTTACGTCGTTTTTGAGTGTTTTTTTTTTAACTTTTAATGTGGGCGGTTCGGGTCGGTTTTGTTATGTTAACCCACAACCCGAACCGAACCGAACCAATTACTCAACCCATGGACCGACAACCACCCAAAAAAAAAAAACCGACCCAACCCGGTCGGTTCTGGTGGTTTACTCGAGTTGGGTCGGTTTTTGCCCACTCCTAGCTATTTCGTTGTAGACGGATTTGAAATCTAGGAGTTTTGTTCGTTGCACCGGAATTTGGGTCAAGGTGGAGATTGTTGTGTTTTTTACCCAAATTAGAGTGGATTTTTTTGGAAATAAATTATTTCCTTATTTTTATATAGGAAAATTTGTTTCCTTATATTTCACGTGAGTTTTATGGAAATATATTATTTCTTTATTCTATATTATTTCCATCTTTATGCTATGCCATGTACCTATAAATAATGGTATCCTATTTCAGTTTAGTAGAAGCCAATATTACTGTGGCATTGTATTCTCTCCATATTGTTAATTAATAATATATCTTGCCTTTGCGTTAATTCCTCTTTTTTTTCTTTACTTTATACCTTGATATATATTTTTATATTATTGCAATCCATATTAACTTCGTATCGTGTCATTAACTTCATTCTTTACAACCCGTCAATCCCAACACACAATTATAGCATTGTATTTAAATTTAATTGAAACAGCTATAATTTCTTTGTGAAATGATTAATGAACACAACATAATTCGGAAAACCATCAAATGACTTTTAATAGAAGATGAACCCCTTACATCAAAATATAGTATTTCAAACTGAGCACTACTCATTAAAGTAGAAACAGAAAATTACACATTGAAGCTGTTGGAAAGAGGTATTCTGACTGGCATAGATGGGTTTCGAAGAAGTAACATGAGACGACAACCACTTATAAACTCCATCTCGATTATACCCTTTCATTGTCGGTGCCCCTGTGTGACGATCCTTCACCACAAATGAAGAAGGTAAGAATCCATCAGGGACACGATTTCATAAAACGCAATCTCCTTAAGTTGCCGAATTATTTTTTACACTAATCTATTGCGCAAGCATTGTCATTACTGATCTCTGACTAAAGACGTGTTTACATAAGAAAAGTAGATATTTCATGTTAAATGATATCTAGATGGAAATTAAGAATAACCTGGCTCATTAGGTCGATCAATATCAAATGCTTGCAGGTCTCCACTGGTGACGCTATCGAAATCAGACATAAATTGCTCATTAGGCATGAAAGCACCAGGCACTGTTAGTAAATTAGTTCCATCCTGTTCCATGTAGGGTGCTTCGACATTGTCTTGGGAAAATGTGAATCCATTTACATTTTTCTGTGATTCAACCTGAGGATGATAATCAAAGACGTTATTATTTGCCAGACTATAGATTTGTCGATCTTGAATTTTTTCACTGTTTTCGTTGATTTGGAGATTCTGCTGCTCCAAATGTTTGATTAAAACGGGCATGGAGCCAAAGTTCTTTCTTTTCAGGTTGGTCGCCTTGATCTCCGGTGACACCTCAATATTAATATAGTGACCTTTTCTCTCTTTGTTTGGTCTCCAACTCCCTTTACGACATTTCTGAAAAAGAAAAATGAAATAACTTAACTATGGCGCATCGAGATCTATTGTAAAAAATCTTGATAGACTAATAAATAAATTTTCGATATATTCAACTCATTCCTTTTTTATTACAGTGTACAAGAACGAGGAGTTGTGTTTTTTAAGTTTTTCCCTCATGGATAGGATCTCTACTTTAGGCACCATAGGGATGGTCACTACGGTTTTCAAATAGCATAAAATCATAAAAAAGTTTAGAAACTATAGGGAGAAGTTTTTCAAAATTATGCATGGAGCACATGAATTTATCAATACTATAGAAGCAAAATTGAATATGAAAATCGAATCTTCTGGTAACGAAGTTGTATTTACGAGTGAGCTATGTTTGGAGATGACTATATTAAAAACAAAAATCTCTTGAAAGTCACGACATACCACACATTTGGTTTAACGAATATCATATTTGAGAAAAGGTCGAGGAAGTTTCTAGGTAATATTGGGAAAAAGACTAAATGATAGCTAGCTAATGCAAATGTAAAATTTATCACTATATTTTCAAATTATCATAATAAGACTGTAATAACAAACCTGGAGATGGCTGGCCACCTGCAATCTTGTAAGACCGGGTTCATTCATGAGCTCTAGGATTTCCTTTGGGTAACATCCTACACAGGATAAAAGGGCACTCATGTATGCACACAAACTCAGCGTAATATAGATTGGTATCCACGTGCATGCTAGAGAAATACTATTTGCATACATAGATACACAGTCGCAGGCACACAAACACGCATATATATACACACTATGGACATGGTAATATCATAATGATTAGAATTTTAAAATCTACTATGAGAAGAGGGCTTACTTCCTTCACCAAGTTCAATTATAGCGTCCACAAATTTGTCATGGAGTTCTTGAGTCCACTCTGTCCGAACTTTTCTACCTTTTTTTCTTGATTTGCTTCCATTTTCAGCAACGTCATCGTCGTCATTCGTAATATTTTCCAATGGGATTTGACCTTCTGCCCCAAACCCGTTACTCATTCTGTTGAATACCGGTACCTCACCAATTTGTTCTTTTTCTTTAATTTTCCGTGTCTTCTCCCTCCACAGATGTTGCCAAAGGTACTTTACATCCTCCATTTTAATTGGTTTTGGGAGAAAAAGAAAGGCCCCTTGCTCCAGAGCACTTCTTGCCACCATATTATCGTCATAATCATCCATCACTCGAATAAAAAACATACAAAATAGAGTCAGTATAACAAAATCTGGATTGTACAATATTGGTTAGTATTAAAAAAATCCTGCAGCATCGTGTAGTACCAAAACGACTTGTAGATTTGAGGATAGAATATTAATTTTAGAAAGTCAATTATAAATTAATTAACACTCACAAATCACTAGCAAGTCCATTTTAACTGCTTCTTGGAGAAGCTTGAAGGTGCTTATATCTGGTGGATTCATATTTGCCATCACTATGTCAAATTGAGCCTTCCCATTTGATAACATTGATAAAGCAGCGGAGGCATGATCAACGCATTTCGCTACAAAACAGACCATTTAATTTATAAATATTAATTCAGAAGGAAAAATAAAAATAAAATACGTAAATAAGAAATTTATAATAACAACCCTTTTGTTCTATCTTACACATTTCAAATTTCCATTATATTTGCTCTCTTCTTTTTACTACTATCTTTTTTCCCCACATGTGCGCCCTCACATATGATTCTTTGCTTGTCTACACCTATATGGAGTATGTATGTATGCATATATGTATGTATTAGCAACATGTATAAAATAGATCTATATGTTTGTGCACATGCACATACACACACATGTTTCTGAAATACGTATGGCAAAATAAATCTTGAATTTCTGAATGGAGAAATATGAATCAAAATCATACAGTCTAATTATCAACAAAATACAAATGATAAACAATTTATTTTCCACAAGAAATTAGGCATTTTTCAAACCGTACATTTTTAAGATGTGATTTTCGTTCGTAACTATATCAAGAACTAATTAACTATTATGATCATACAAAAGTTGGTTAAATGGTAGCTTAAGACATTAATTACTCGTAGAAAATATTATTATTATCGTACTCTTGCATTGCAATAAGTGTAGAAGATTCAAAGAGCTTGATGAATAGGAAATAAAGTTTGTAATTTAGTAAATTATCAGATAATTAAAAACTTTACTCACTATTATAGTACTTTTTCCTCTATTATTTTATTTCTTTTTTGAAAATACTTAGAACATTTACTTACACATATACTGCTTGATGGGCACATTTAAATGCATAATATGGCGTGAACGAAGATTTATAGTCGAAATAGTGAAAATAAATTATTAATCAAAATTAATCACTGCATATGGCCCATTTCATCTTGATCTTCAAAAAGAACATGTAAATCAAGAAAAAAATTCCATGAACATATATCTCTTTCAAAAATTTCATATTGGACCAAATCGCATTGTATGAATTCTTAACGTCAGTTTAAGTAATTAGGTAAATTGAGAATGTTCATCTATCATATCTATATCTATAATGGTTAATTTCAACTTCAACCAAAATAATAATAATAATAATACTAATAATAATAATAATAATAATAATAATAATAATAATAATAATAATAATAATAATAATAATAATAATGAAATGATAACATTATGATTACGATTTTTTTTATTTTTTATTTTTTACCTTTATATGAAAAAAATTCCAACAGTTGCATTGTTGAAATAAGATGATTAGTATCATGTTCAACTAGCAAAACATGGACTTCTTGTGTCGTGCTTGAATATGAAGCCATTGGAGTGCTTCAACTAAGCTTCCAATCTCCAAAAGAATGACTGTCTTGATAGTAACAGATGGAAACAAGTATGGGAAAAAATTGGTAAAAATCTCTTCAAAGTTTGATATAAATATATGTATCTAAAATACATCAGAAGCACTTATATTTATGTTGTTGTTTGATGTAGTGTGTTGTTGACTTCTAGCATAATAAATACCTCCTAAAGATTAGTTTGAAATGAATAGACATTTGATACACACCGGATACACTTGTATTTATTTATTTCGTGGAGGCTTTGATATTGACTTCTAGAATAATTAATAACTCAAAAAGATTAGTATTGAATAACAATGAGTTTATCTTGTAACGCTTTTACATTAAAATTTGACTTTTGCATCTTTCCGTTGTGGGACCCTTTCCAATTGACCAACAATACTGGTAGTCCATATATTGCAGTAAGTGGTTGAAAGGTAACCAAAGCAATGGTATCGAGTGATATAAGTGCTTGACACTAATTTAGGTGATAGTAGTTAGGTGCCTACTATTAATTGTCCATTAAGTTGAGATAAGTTGAAATAAATTTTAATTCAACAGACAATTAAAGGTGGGACCTAGTACCACGTAGGCGACGATAGATAGCATTATTCATTGTTACATGATCATTACATCATTAATAATATTTTTATCCATGTTTATGTTGGGACGTATACTCACACTCGATATGTGGCAACTGCAATAGTTATATTTTCAATATAACCACATTCATTTTTCGATTATGCTAATTACATTCCTTAATCAGATAACTCGAGAGAGTCTCAAATCTGAAGGGGGACAGGAGCTTGAAAAAGTACACAATTTACATTTATTTCCCATGGAACTTCCAAAATGATTTTGTAAAATTTTAATTAGTGAATGACGTTTTCATAATTACGTTAATAGCAAACCTCACGCAGTATTAGGAGAAATTGACAACCTTTTTTAACAATTTTTTTTTTTTTTTTTTTTTTTTAAAATTTTTTTTTTTTTTTAAAATTTTTTTTTTTTTTTAAAATTTTTTTTTTTTTTTAAAATTTTTTTTTTTTTTTAAAATTTTTTTTTTTTTTTAAAATTTTTTTTTTTTTTTAAAATTTTTTTTTTTTTTTAAAATTTTTTTTTTTTTTTAAAATTTTTTTTTTTTTTTAAAATTTTTTTTTTTTTTTAAAATTTTTTTTTTTTTTTAAAATTTTTTTTTTTTTTTAAAATTTTTTTTTTTTTTTAAAATTTTTTTTTTTTTTTAAAATTTTTTTTTTTTTTTAAAATTTTTTTTTTTTTTTTTTTTTTTTAACTTTAGTTGCTTTTTCGTAAAGTTTGTCACAAAACGTGTAGGAAAAAAAATTGTAAACCTAACCAATTATAATCCAATATACTTCCATTGACTAAGTCATCGTAATTCTATTTCTTTTCTTTTCTATCATTCATTTTTAGAGCATGTTTGGTACGAATTAAAATTTGATTTTTAATATAAGTCAAAGTCAAACAATTAATACTAACTACATCTTTCATGGATCCCACAACTTTTCTACCACACATTTCAAAAACTCGATAAGATACATCTCTTTAGTCTAACAGTCAATTTATTTCTTATATAAACATCTGTGGAAATTTGATGTAGGGTTCATTTACTTATTTTATACTAGTCCCGATATGATATTTGATCGTTGTCTTTACTTATGCAATTCTTTTTCCTATTTAAAGAGTCTGCACTGTTGGTGGAGTCTACATAGGAATTACTAGTGAAATTTTCTGTTGAAGCCTAGAATAGTTAAAGGATGATGATTCTGATCAAACTTATTTAATTAAGTTTGTATGACAATTCAAACTTAAATGGTCATGAAAAGATGTAGCAATGTGCTCGCATATTGAATCTTGATGTTCCAGTAAAAGTTTATCAAATTCGTGAGATGTGTTGTTAAGATGTAGAATCCCCTCACTACTCTCAAGTTTTAGTTCAATAATTTGAATTGACAATTTGAAATCATATTTGTTGGTCAATATTGTTCCTATTTTAATTGAAAACCTCTCTCGACATTTATCAAATTCATTCCTCTCATATGACATTTTTATCTCTCGATGAAATTTGAGAATATGATAAATGCATTAAACAAGCTAGAACATCTTTCAAAACCATATGAAGCATAGAAGTGTATCTCTATCCTCTATCGAATCTCAAAATACCTATTACTACGTGCCAATAATCATATTATTTATGTCGATGACAATAAAACCCAAAAACAATTCAATTAATGGCCAACTAATTGAAAAGCAAACAAAATCGTAATAAATTAACATCGACCTAATTATTTAAACCAAAAACTTCATAACAAGAGTTCATCTCATCCTATCAATATGAAAACCAAGCCAAAAATATTGAAATTACAACACATCATTCTAAATTGAATAACATCACCCAAAAATCAATTAATTGAAGAAAAATCTGGAATTCTTGAATATCTTCAATGAGTTTTGGATATCTTTTGAGTTTTCCTTCATGTCCTTGTAAGCACTTCTTGGTATGAAGTTTTCTCCTTGATTTTCTTGCAATTTCACAGTTGTATTCTTTCAAAAATATGAATTCCCTCTCCTGTTGTGTATGAATTCATGGGATATTGTAGTGTACCATGTATATAAGACATATGTATGAGAGGTCCTTTAATATATTCTACTGTTAGGTATTTGTAGGAGTTAAAAATCACATCCCAATTGGTTTTGAAAAGAGTTTCAATCGAATAAGGAAAGTTGCCTTCGTGTGGGGATTTTTCGTCTCTACACAGCACTCAGTATTTTGATCATAATTTTGTCTCCCGATATCTGATTGAGTTTATTCGAAATGCGTTCGAAAGTTAATTCAAAGAGGTACAATATTTCTAAAAATAGAATTTTTCGAATTCAGATGTTTACTATGTCAAAATTAGGTCTCAATCTTTGAGAAAAATCTGAAAGATATCTTATATGATTAGAAGTCGATTTATGGTAATACTCTGATCATATTTCATTTCTTTTTAACTTTTAATTGCATCTAATTGGCTTCTATAAATCTTCAAAGTATCTCTTGTGGTCCGATCAATCTTGGATATTTGCAATTTGGTCCTCAAAATTTCTACTTTGCCATATTTCATCCTTTTTCACTATTTTCTTTCAATTCAACTTTCAACCATCCAATTTTATTTAATAAATGAAATATACAATAAATTAGGCTATAATTCCTTAAAGAACTATTAAATATCGATATTTTTAAGTCAAAATAAGTGTATAAAACACACTTATCAAACACTCAAGGCCTTTAGAATGGACTATATATGGAAACCATCTTTGGAGGAATGTTCACAATAATCATCCCACCTCTTAAAATCAACTCATTTATTTAATCAAGTTGGAAATCTAAATTGACGAAAACATAAGAAATAAGAAGAAAATTAAATCTGGAAGGTACACAATTGAACCTAATAAGAGAAAGGCCCTAAAATCATGCTAGGGCAAACTATAAAGGCTCGAATTCCACTATAGAAGTCATTCTTCAGAAATAATTAAAATTTCTCCGAGGAAGTCTATGAGGTTTGCTCGCTCGAACAGAAAATGAAGTATTGTGAGGTATACAAAACTTGTGACCGTGATATGGTGGATTTTCGAATTTGAGGGACACTATTGATAAAATACTGGATCAAGGTTGCTACCCAAGAGGAGGAAGTCAATATGGTCTCACACCCCTTTCTCGTG